AGAGGGAGAGAGACTAAGTGCCGCTTTTCTATTTCCTTATACACGACTTTCTAAGTCTGAATTGCCAATGACTTCAAAGGATCTAGCCCTTAATTCAAATTTAGTAGGTGCATTGATAAGTTCGGCTAAATTTTGGAGCATATGATTCAGTAGCATGATTTGGTAGTTTACCATCTCCTTCTAAAATTGCTACACACTCTTTTCGCAATTGAATTTGAATTTCAAGACATTTAACTATGCAAGGCAGCAGCCTAGGCACCATCTCCCATTCTCTAATACACCGCCACTGAATTTCAAAAATCTCTAATTAACTTCTAGAACTCTAGTTATGTCTTTTACCACACTCCAAATGATTCTCTTAGATTCTACAGAGTTTCATGATTTCACCTAATATTCTGATATTCTAAAATCTTTAAATTGTTCAGCTAAAATTCATAAATTCAAATTGTCATCTCTGCTTAACACCATCCAAATATAGGAGAGGTAAAAAAAAACGTAGCACGGTTCTTCATCAGTAACTTAGAATCATCAAAAACAATGGTGCTAAAATTCTATCAATCTATTATCAAAATAAATAAATTTCTATGAAAGTCACTTTAACTACAAAATGCCCCAACAAATCTTAGTAAAAGAAGAAAATTGTTTCTTCCAGCTACTAATGAAACAGTTCAAAGTTTGAGACGCCAAGCCTGCAAACCACAGAATCAAATGTGAAAATGACCCAGAAGATTTTTTTCTTTGGAACCAGCAGAAAAATCAAAAGTAAAAAACTTACTAATGATTTAGTCAACTCTTGATTATCTCGTCCAAAAATAGCACATATATCCAACAACTTTGGCATATCTAGAAGCTTCTTTTCTTGTAAAAGAACTATGAATGGGGGAAAAAGAAAACATATAAGCTCAAGTAAGATGCCTTAAAATATCAGCACCAATTGTTGGAAGGGCATAAAGCAAACCACACCAAAAAGAGAACAAAAGAGAAAGAAATTTACCTGCATACTCGTTTGGATTGAGCATCTCACTTGCAGGAGCACCGAGGTCTTGATTAGAAGATCTGCAAAATGAGAAATTTTCATTTCCTTTAAGAAAGGCAACACTTGCGAGATAAAGTACTCACAAGCATTACTTTTATTTTTTACCAGTAGTTACTTCCAAATTGAAATTGCAAGCTAAACTAACATGCGGTAGAAGATCATGAAGACGCGACGACTGAGCTCTGACTCTCCAACGATAACTCCAGCCACCATTCCTTTCATTCCATGATGGGGAAAGTCATACCAACGATTTCTGAATTGTAAAAAACTATCCAGGAACTCATGTAGAGAATTGTCTATGGCCACTGAAATGAAATTCCTAAAGTTAAAGAGGAATCATGAATGTGTACATCAAATAAGAATGGATACGCAGAGAACATTTTTTTTTAGGCAAACCCACTGTAAGACATCCAAATAGAAAAAACCATGCAAATAGATGGGCATGTATGAATGTGTGCACATGCATGTATGTGTAATCAGCATCTGTGTATGCTTCCATATACCCATTTTATGATAATTGAATCATTTAAACATGGATCAAAAGATAGATTTCCCAAATAAACACTAACTAGTTGAGTAATATAGAGAATGAATTACAATGACATGTTGGAGTAATCTCCAATCACTATCAAGAGACCATATAGGTGCAGAATAAATGGCAATTAATGCATATAAGGGTAGTGCTTGTTTTCTCCTGTTTAAAACAACTCACTGAATATCCCGATTTTTAAGTGACTAATCTCACCGATTTTTTCCAATTATCATTCCTCTTTACCAAGTCACTGAATAGTACAATTTCAAATGAAAAACTAAAAATACATGACAAAAATTGTGTGCATTTCATCCTTGAGAATCATATGATTCCCAGCTAGTCATCCATGATTCCGAAGTCTAAACAAAGTAGCAAATACCCAACTGTTATATAACATTAATAGCAACTATGATGATCATTATAGAACAAAAGAGTAATATTTGAAACCAAATAAATAATTCTTCAGTGGAAGCCCGAGAGCCAAAATACCCAAAGCCTAAATCCACATCAATCCAAGATATAATTCTCCAAAATGAATTTTATAATTTCAAGCAAACATTATGAATTTCGCATTAGAAGCCAAAAGTACAAGTAGCACTCTTCCAGAACTGACTGTAATAGATAAATTTCAAACAATAACAAGAATAAGAAACAACTATTTAAAATCAATAAAATCCCCAAGAATCATACCTTGTTTCCAGAATTCCCTAGAATTCAATTTGAGCAAGTGACCCAACTCCCTATTCAGAATATCCACCACTTTCTGAGCTTCTATGGCATCAAGGCCTCCATGCTCAACACCAAGACCAGATGCAACCGCCTCATCCTGAGGCAAGTACCTAACAAATCCCCCCTGCTTCTTTGCATCATGATCCCCTCCTGCCATTGATTGAGATGAAGTTGCAGAGCTTGAACCACCACTATCAGCATGAGAAACCTTTCTTCCATGATCAAACTCATTAAAACTCTTATTGGGTTTTTCAGAAGACTGTCTCAACTGACTGGTAAATGAAGAATTTGCAGGGAAGTTCTCGTTCCTGCCATTGTTGGGTGCTTGTTCTGATGTTTGTTGTTGGGTTTTTGGGATGTTCTTGTTCCTGCCATTGTTGGATGCTTGTTCTGATGTTTGGTGTTGGGTTTTTGGGATGTATCTATTCTGTGTTTTGTTGGAATTTTTGGTGGTGGATTCAACCCTGTTACTGTCAGATTGGGAATGCATGGTTACCAAATATACCCAATTCAGAGATGAAGCTTGGAGATGCTTGTAACCCCTATCTCTCTGCAAGTAACTCTAAAGCTCCCACTCTATCTCTATGTGGCTCTCTCTCAACTCGAGAAGACTCTCTTTCTCTCTCTACTCAATGATCGGGCCTGCGTTTGCAGAATTGGGGTGCTTGCCGTATATATTTGATCGTCTAGAATTCTAGAGAGAGAGAATTCTAGAGAGAGAAAAACCGCGATGGGGGTTACCCATTACATTGCCAGCCTAATCGATCTAATTAAGGCGCACCTCTGAAATGGGTGAAAAAATTTATTAGATTTATCTTAAAATATGTTTTTGTATCTAATTATAAAATTTTAAATTTCTTCAAATCAATACATCTATAAACATATCAAAATCTTGAAAAAATACATCTAGATAATATATTGCAATATGCATTTATGTGATTCAAAATTTGTTTTTTTTTTTTTTCTTATTCATGCATCTCGATGTCAAGATTATCAATTAGAGGTTTTTTCAACATTAAAACGACATTTTTTGATATATTTTTAAAGTGCATGTGTGGTTCTACATTTAAAGGTTACAACTTTATATAAACTTTTGGAAAAATTACATATATATCCGTTATATTTTACGTTATTACGGATGTACTGAGTAGTTTCCGTTATTAAATGTATGTCCATTTTTTACATTTCATAATGCAAATTTTAAAAAAAGACGACTCCCATCCGTTTTGTACCTTTTATAATGTAAATTTAAAAAAAGACTACTTTATCCTTTTTTGGGTATTAAACAGCCGAATTGAAAGGTTTTTTGGATGTTCAACATCCGAAAGGTCTCTAGAATTTCGCAGTCATATTTTCGAATATTGAATATCCGCAAATGGTTTCGAATGTTAAACATCCAAAACCATTTTCGGATGTTGGACATCTGAAAGTGTCACGTTTTTTACATTTTCGAATGTTGACAATGCAAGCTTTATGAAATGTGACTGATATTGTAACAAAAAATACATTGAATTCGGATATTAAACATCCAAAAAACCCTTCAATTTGGTTGTTCAACACCCAAAAAAGGATAAAGTCATCTTTTTAAAAAAATTACGTTATAAAAAATAAAAAACGGACAGAAATATAATAACATAAATTATTTGGTATATCTACTAATAATGCAAAGTATAACGGATAGATATGTAACTTTTTCTATTCATAAATTAAAAAGAAAAAAGAAAACAAAAAAAAAAAAGTATACAATGAGAACATTTATCTTTTGAATAATGTGGTTACAACTAATCTTGACGTTTGGATGTGAAATTAGGTAATTGCATTTATTCCATTGACCAAGCACAAAGTTAAAAAAAAAATTCTCGAACTTTGTGACACACTCAAACTATCAAATTCACATCTGATGGTTATAAGCAACTATGCTTTCCTTGTATAATAGGTAAATAGTCTCATTCTATACGATCCCATTAAAAAATTATAAAATTAAAATTCTTGATCCAATGAAAGGGGGGGAATTTCCTTGCAGGGGAGACGCAAAGAATAGTTTTCCATCCATGTTTGTTGTCACTTGCAAAAATATAAAAAAGAGTAGTGTTTACACAGTTTCCCACCCTTGTTTGTAGCCTCACCACAAACATCGAAGGGGAATTGTTTGGTGTGTCCAAGCCCGCACCAATTACCATGTGGGCTTGGAGATCTACACCGCCCTCCAAATAAAGTGTATATCTACATAGTAAATAATAGTCCTCTAAAGAAAAAGTAAAATCAACTATTTAAATACTTTTTTGAAAAACTATCATTTCTATTTTAAAAATTTATTTATTTTTATAGATTAATAATCTACAAGTTAAAGATTATATATTTCTTAAAAATTAGGATTAAATACTTGTAATAATCCTAAAATTTCAAAAAAAAAAAAAAAAGAGAGAAAATAAACTTTTATAAATGATGGTCCATATAAGTATGATAGTCCTTAGGGACCATCACCACTTTTGTTAACCTTTTACCTTCCCCTTAACACGTCCCTTGGTTGCGTGGGACTTAAAGCTTTTACGTTTAATATAAACGTTACACCTTGTGTGTAAGGTGTAACTTAATAAAATATTGTTATAAGGAGTATAAGGTGTAACTTAATAAAATATTGTTATAAGGTGTCGTAAGAGTTTAAATACGAAAGGTGAGGACTCCTATCTTAGAAAATTTTGAGGTCTCTATCTTTAGCGGAATTTTTATCAGAAGCTCCTTCTCAAAATATTTTAGGTAAGTGACATTATTACCTTGAAAAATAATCCATTTTTTAAAAAAAAATGAAATGAAATAATTATTTCTGCTTATTATCATAAATTTTAGGCGCGATAAATTTTATGCGCACGCGACCTCATTATTTTGAAACATAACCTTTTTAATAAAAATTGTGATATTTTATCTATGTTAGAAATTTTGAATGTTGTAAATTATTAGAAATAAATTTATTTATTTTTCTTGTTTATTGTTAGAAAATTTTAGATACTATAAAATTATTAGAAATAAATGTGATATTTATGCTTTTAATGAAATTGTGATATTTCTTTCTACTGTCTTTGAATATTTAGACATTGTAAAATTCATGTGCAAGTGACTGCCTTATTAATTAAAAATTGACATTTTTGCAATTAATTATAACATTGTAGTGAAATGCTTATTTGTGAATTGATATCTTATAAATTGTGATAATTCCGTATTCTTGAATTTCTATAAGAGTTTTTCTATACATATTAAATTGGCAATTATGCTAGAATGTCTTTACGAACTGCTACCTTTCTAAATTTGAGCCCAAAATATTTGATTGGTTATTTTTGAAATGTTATTGAAAGTGACTGTTATTAATGGTTTCAGTGAAATTCATATTAATGATTTCAGTGATATGTTGAGTACATGATATTGCTGCTTTCGAATGTTTAAAGAGATTTAGAAATACTTTAAGTATGCAAGTGGACTCATCTGGTTCGCCGGTGAGGTATAAGTGGATCTATCCGGGATGCCGGTAGGGATTAAGTGGACTCATCCGGTACGCCGATGAGGTATAAGTGGACCTGCAGAGATTAAGTGGACCTGCAGGGATTAAGTGGACCTATCTAGGACGCCGATAGCGATTAAGTGGACCCATCAAGACGCTGATAGGGTATATAGGTGACCTATTTGGGACGCCAGTAGGGTATTTTGTGAAATCTTTTGAATTATGCATTGATATTAAAATGTGATATGTATTTCAATTATTCGGATTATACTTAATTATGCATTTTTTAAAGTGAAACTATTAATGCATTCCTGTTAATAGATCTCTTTTTTGAAAATATTGATATCTTTCAATCATGATTATTTTTAAGATTGTGATATCACTTACTGAGTAGCCAAACTCATCAAATTATGGTAAACATTTTTCCAGGATAACTGCGGTTTCATTTTGAGTGCTTGTCAGGATCAACTTTGGAAGATATTGTAGTTGTGCTTTAACTTTCTTTTGTTACCTTGTAAGAATTCGCCCCTATAAATTTGTCCTATCAAGAAATGTATATATGTTTTGACTGTCACATCTCAAGAATATCAGTATTGTAAATTCTTGGGGTGTGACAATTATGGTATCAGAGCAATAGGTTTAAGATTCTTAGGAAAAAAAATTTTAAAAAAGAAGAGAATATACCTAAAATCGCACTTATTGCGCGTACAAACTGGGACGAAGTCAATATCCAGAATAGCTGAAGCTATTATGGAAGGAATTCACAAAGCTTTGGAAAGTATGGTTGCTCTAATGCAACATCAGATGGAAAACAACAATCCACCCAGGCAGCTAGTTACGGGAAATGGTGGGAGTGATATTGAACAATTTAAGAAATTGAACTCACCTTCTTTTAAGGGTGTTGTAAACCCACTGGAAGCCGAGGGATGGATTATGCAATTGGAGAAAATATTCGAGGTAATGGAATGTCTTGATGATAGGAAGGTGGCCTTGACAGTTTTTATGTTTGAAGGAGAAGCACAACATTGGCGGCGAATGGCAAAAGGAGTATTGGTTAAAGAAAATAAACCCTTGACTTGGGAAGTATTTCTAGAGGCGTTTAATGAAAAGTATTTCCCAGATTTTATTCGAGACCAAAAAGAAATGGAATTTCTGGAATTAATCCGAGGAAACCGGACAGTAGCACAGTACGAGGCCAAGTTTACTGAATTGTCCAGGTTTGCACCACATATGATTAACAATGAGGCAAGAAAGGTGAAGAAATTTGAAAGGGGTCTCAGACCAGCTATTAGAAGCAGAATATTAGTCTTAAAATTGAGAACTTATGCTGAAATAGTGCATTGAGCCCAAATTGTCGAAAAAGATTTTGAAGATTACCAAAAGACGAAAAATCAGAAAAGCCATGTTAGACCCACACCATCTAATCCACTACAATTCGAAAGGGCAAACAAGAAGCCAAGGCCCTTACCACTTCAGAGCCCAATAGAACCATGTAAAAAATTTGGAAAAAACCATGGATCCAGCCCTTGTTATTGGAATACCGGAGCCTGTTTTAAATATGAAAAATTGGGACACCAGATTAGACAATGTCTTAGCTTACAGATACAACAGCTTCCAAAGTAAGGAGAGATAACTCAAAAGCCTCAGATGAAGGGAAGAGTATTTACGATCACCGAGCAAGACGCTCAGGCCTCAAAATTAGTGATCTAAGGTACTCTTATTATCTTTCAAAAAGTAGCTCATGTTTTGATTGATCCTGGATCTACTCATTCATTTGTGTCACCACATTTTACATGTCACTTAAAGGTAGAACCAGAACAATTAGAATACATTATAGAGGTAGCCACACCGATGGGAAATTCAATTAAGATCAATATAGTGTACAAATCATGTGTAATAAAGATAGAAGAAAAGGAATTGATGGTTGATTTAATACTCCTAAAAATTCAAGATTTTGATGTAATCTTAAGCATGGATTGGATTTCTACATACCATGCAAGTATTAATTGTTATAAAAAAAATGGTTACCTTTAGTATTCCGACATCCAATATTTTACTTCAATAGTATCAAAAAAGACTCCCCATCATATTTAATCTCCTCTATTCGAGCTAATCGTCTCTTTCAAAAAGGGTGTCAAGGCTTTCTTGCCTATATCAAAGAAGAGAGGAAGGAAGAGATAAATTTGGATGTCACTCCGGTTATTCGAGAATTTCCCGACGTTTTCCCTGAAGAATTGCCAAGAT